AATCACAAACTAGTCTTCGCTAGATCACCATTAAAAACCTGAAAGAACTGGATGCCTATTTTATCTTAGTATGGGACACTTTAGAAGTGTATATCCATGATCCCGCATCCGGGAATTGAACCGAAGACCTTTGGTTTCGAGTGAGAATGTCTACCCTTTAGACCATTGAACTGTCATCTAACGAGGTTAATATCTAATTCCAATTAATTTACAATGTTGTACAACTATCATCGATTGCCTGTGGTAGATAACTGCCACACACATAACATGGTTAAAATCCACTGATCACTGATTTGACTACGGAGGCAGAATAGTTTTATAACAGGACGATGAATCCGTCTAGTGCTCTCAAGTTTTCAATAGTGGTCTAGCTAACCTCTGTTCATTATTCAAAAAAACCAAATAACAATAGTTTGATTTTGTTCCCTGTATTCTCATTTTTATTTTTACTTTTTTTTAAATTTTACTAACAAAGTGTATTAACTGAGTTGAAAAATGATCCTAGATCAAAATTAAGACCCTTAACTGTGAGGTCATGAATTGACAAAAAATAAATTATTAAATGATTGTATTTGAGGCGAAGAGAATTTTCCACACCACAATTTCGAATTCATTTTACTCATATTTTGCTAGTATATCGTGTATATATACAAGTACCAACGAGCATTAGTAGCTACCCAGTAAGTACAACTTGTAGTATGTGTAAACTTACAAAAGACAATTACTCAGAATTAGTTACATCCAGGTTAGTACTTAAAATTACCACAAAATTTATAAACTCTACTACGTCGAGATGAAGGATACTTTAGTGTTTCAAAATCATGGGTTTACATTGAACTTTCACTTAAGTTGGATATACTTTGTACTAAATTATCCTGTAGGTTCGACCAATAAAATAACTAGTAACAACAGGTATAGCAGTGAATGTTTTGAAATATATGATGAAAACAGTGTGACGGTAAAACAATTCATGTGTTTTGGACTGTGTACAAAATCTTCACCCTCTGTTCATGATGTTTCTTAGTCTCATGCTAAGATAAAACAGTTGTCTAGTGTACTCTGTTTTTTAATGATTGTTTAGTTAGTATTAGTTTGTAAGGCAAAATGCCGACCATAGTACTCTATTATCAATGGAATCCATCTAAAATAATGTGCGAATTTTACAGATTGAAATAATCAAACTAATTCCGACTAATAAACACATTAAATATAATATTAGACTCATTTCATGTGAACGTACATAGGTCGTTGCTGTGGTAACACTATACCCTTGTTAAAAAGATTTGACGGGGAATAATCGATATATATATATATACTGATTGTATCGTGGTTGTAACATATCAAAAACCGCACATTAATCAGTAGTAATCAATAAACATGTGGTCCAATCCAAATGGAAATTCTCAGGTAAGAGTTAGTTTGATCGGAGCACATGATCTTTTTTTATTTTTACCGAATCTGTGGAACTAGATATGTACTAGTTCTAGAGATAACCTTTTCAAACCAGACAGCATCCCTAGAGATGATTGTTATCTGGAAAAAAAACACTTTACTGACGTCACACTTAAGTACAGTCAATATAACGACATGGCACACGGACCTTAGGCAGCTGGTTTTAGTCTTTCTGTTCACTAACCGACCTGTCTGCCATGATAAGACCTAAAAAACAAGTGTTCAAGTCAATATAGCCCGATCAGCTCATCATGGAAGGTAAGTCCTAACATCACCTTTAAATAGCAACTATAGTGGGGAAATCAATCATTAGTCAAGAGCGAATGTTTATTAAATTGGGAACATTGTTACAACATTATTCATTGACAGCTCATATTTATAAATTTTATATAACAATGAATAGTGTGTCATAATTCACTGATCCGAACAAAATATAAGTTTATTTGTGTTGGTACTATAGATGCAACTAAACAAATGAATTAATGAGATGCAAGTAGATGGATATCAATCATCTACATGACAACATAGTGAAATATACATTGACTAGCGCTAAAAAAAGGTAAGACGTAAAGTTATGTAACATAAATTAGTGAGTAGAACCTACATGACACAATGGTTTCTAACCAAAAAAGCTAGATATTTTGTCCAATCTCAGTTGTTTTCATAAATTTACGAGAAACCGTAAAGCAGAAGACAACATCATTTACTTGGTCTAATCCTACGACGTGTTAGTAACACGAAATAACTCATTTTTAAATCAATGATAGAATATAAATTTCTTTTAAGTATCGGATTTTCAATAAGTCACAGACAATGTAGAACCTAGGAACTAATGTGTTAAGTTAACGTTAGAAAAAAAGAAAAGCATATACAAACAGAAGCATGTCTTGAAACGATGAATCAGTTATCAGACTGGGTTTGTGGATATCGTGACCTTACATTGAAATCATAAACCGGTCTAAGTTAGACCACTATTGAAAACATGCAAGCATTCGTACAGTAGTATCATCCTAGTATGGGAATCCTTTTGGGTTGGATCTCCTGGTACGGAGTCATGGACGGGCATTTTTTAAAAGTACATACTAGGACAAAACAGTCGTCCAATGCTTCAAATTTCACAATGATGATCTAACTTAGGTCAGTTTATGACTTCACTGGAATTAATTAATTGATTGCTAGTCCCAGTCATTAAGAAAACCACAGGTTGATTAAAAAAATGCTACTTAAGTCAACAATAAAAGCACGTAAGTACATTCATATCTTGAGGTCATGGAATATTGAGCAAACAAAACTCAACCAACTTGTCGTTTATTCATTACATTACTATGAATATATTAATTATCAGAAGGGGTTATGTGGAGATTTAGTATGTTTCATAGTTGAAAGCGTGAGTCAATTGAAGCTAGACCACCATGGAAAACCTGGAAACAACTTTGTGTTAGACATTAACACCGTTGGATGCCGGCCAGCTTAGTGGTCTATCGGTTAAGGGCTCTGGCTCGAGACTGGTAGGTCCTGGGTTGGAATCTCGCGATGCGAGGTCGTGGATGCGCACTGCCACTGAGGAGTCCCATAATAAGACGAAATGGCCGTCTAGTGTTTCCAGGTTTTACATGGTGGTCTATTTTATTTATTTATTTAAACACATAAATATTGGTACAAGGAAGCACCAGATACATATGCGCCATACAAATCTCATTCGATTTGCTTGAGGGCTGTGATACTGCCCAGGTGCCCAAACTGAAACAGGTGGTTTTCTTAGAGGCCCACACCCGGAGCCTTCGACCGAAAGATCTGATCCACAAGGCAGTGGAACATCGTGAGGAGATGCAGTCCCATGGTAGCCGGTGATCATGGTTGTCTAGCTTCAATTGACTAACGCTTTCAACTATGAAACTATGAATATAGTTATTGCATATTTTTCTTTAGTAACATTAAACTACTTTTGTTAATGAGTGAGAAAATTTGAAGCGATTATTTATGATCCAAGTTATTGGTTTTTCAGTCAGAAAATTACAATTAATAAATGAGTAGAATTGTTTTATATATAAATACGTGATTTGTCCATCTAACTGTATGTTTCTAACCTCAATTGATCGATAAGGGGAAGGAAAAAAAAACAAATTTCGAACAAGAATAAAACGAGAATGTATGTACAACAATGTCGGAATCTAAACAAACACACTGATAATATGCTTTTGCTTTATAAAACAAACAGGATGAATGAAATATTGATTTTTATGTTTATTATTATTATCACTATCAATCAGTTTCACTACACAACACCAAATACCAAACGATTATACATGAGTATTGTTTCTTTTCAGATGCTGCTGGAAACTTCAGGATTAACAAAAAAAACACTTACTAGTTGAATTTATGAGTCAATTAAAGCTAGACCACCATGGATAACCTCTAAGCACTGGACGTCCGTTTCGTCCTAGTATAGGACTCCTCAACAATGTATATCTACGATCACGCACGAACCCAGGACCTATCGGTCTCGCACGCGAACGCTTAACCTCTAGACCACCGAGTTGGAATCCAACAGTGTAAATGTCTAACTTCAACCAATCCACGAAATCGAGCTACACATCTACCGTTGTCTTCAGTGAGTAACTATCTCACAACAGACCCAGTTGAACTCCACTAGTCACTGCTTCTCACCAGAACTCCAGGAAATATCTCTTGAAGCCAGGTGACTGACTAACTATGAAGATGTGATATCTACACTTTCGAATATATTTAGTTGGTCACTGAAGCACAGAACAGCATAATTTTAACTGAAGATTTCATACTAATCATCTTAAGTTTTCATCATATCTTTTATGAACATGACACTTTAGCTCATTACAACTTGCTAGATTAAAAAAAGTAAATCAAGGAGGAGCTACAGCTTGAAGTGAAACCCTCAGTGGAAATTATTCTCTTATATCCGACATTTACTTATGAAATGAACAGAAAGATGATACATATTGAGCATTCAAAGGCGAATGCGCTACAAATTCACGGTCACCTATCGAATCTTGTATTATATAAATATATATCACTAAAGAACATATGGAACTCAAAACAACTAATTTTCAATACGACCGTCAAGACAGTTCTACTGTATGGAGCTGAAACTTCGAGAACTACCAAAACCATAATCAAAAATGTACAAGTATCTATAAACAGTTGTTTACGCAAGATACTAAATGTCCGTTAAGCCGATACTATCAGTAACAACCTACTGTGGGAGGAAACAAATCAGCTTCCATCTGAAGAGGAAATTAGAAAAAGATGATGGAAGTAGTAGATAGGACATACATTTCGGAAATCATCAGACTGCATCACGAGGCAAGCCCTAACGTGGGATCCTGAAGAGAAAGGGAAAAGAGGGAGACCAAGGAATACAGCGCGTCAGGAATTGGAAGCAGATATCAAAAGAATGAATAATAACTGGGAAGAATTGTCCAGGACAGAGTTCGATGAAGAATCTTCGTGAGGGGTAACAGGGGTAAGTACGAAAGTAATATATATATGGCAAATAAAACATAGCTACTTACTTTAAGTTTAAACGTGCCAACTCGGATTGTGAAAACGCTTTACACATATATCGAGTAGTGTTTGTACTACACGAAATAGGATTGACAGATAATAGCTTTTGACGATTACACAATAAACTATTTCGATCTGGACTATAACGATAAGGACTATGGACAATATTTGGAGTAGCAATAGCGGTAGTATTGGTACGTGAATTAGCTAATATTGTTAAAATTAAACGCATATTATTACTATTATTACTGTTATTATTATTACTACTGCTATTATTACTATTAGTATTATTATGAGTGATAACAGATGCAGTAGTATGATTGTTATTATGATTACTTCTTATCATATTGACGTTATTCGTGTTATAAAATGGTAGAGGATAAGGACAATATTGAACATTTTGTAAATTAGTTAACGAATCGTTTGATTTCGGATTAGTGTAATACGACAATGTGTGATATTCCTTTTGGTTTGGTGATGATGACGATGATGATGATAACAATTTATTGACTGACGTTGATGGTAAAGATGTTGCTGTGAGCATTATTGACGAAGATGATGATGATAAAGATGGTATAGATGAGGCAGTGTTATTATTATTATTACAACCTAAAAGTGTTTGTTGTGATTGTTGACTAACAACAACTGTCCTATCTCTTGACTGATTATAATTTATTAAATCTGTTGAATGATGGTGATGATGATTATTGCCAGTATTGATAACACCAGTGAAATCACTATTTATTGTATTTACATATTGTTGATGTAGAACTGCATATTCATCTGTGTTGAACGATTGTGGGTTGGGTGAAAATGAAGAAATTGGTAAGGATAAACTGTTATTATTGAACGGTGTTGTTAAATAACCACCTTGACCAGTTGCCGTTGATACCCATAAGTTATTTGAATTCCAATATCCAGGATACCATGTACTGTTAGTTGGATCGTAGACACCGTCCATAGGAAGTGTTGTATATCCATTCAATTGATTATTTAATGGTGTACTGTTACTACTTGCATACGATGAAGCATTGGAATAATCGAACTGGTTGATTACAGATGGATCATTTATTTTAGACGATACATTACTATTATTCATGGTAGTAGTAGGAGAGGTAGCGATAGTGACAGATCGAGGCATAGGCATAATTAAACTAAGCGGAGGAACAATTGTGTTAGGATTTTCAGATAAGGATACCTTCGAAATTAAATTAAATTGGTAAAAATAACAAAAGTTTCATAAAAATTTGGAAAATATTTCAAACTTTTTGAAGTTATGAAAAATCAGAAAAACGTAAATTGACAGTCACTGAGAAGTCAAGTAATGAATGTTGTGAAAATATATTCATTTATTTCGAATGGATTATTTAAAGCTTAATTTAAATCGTTATTTAACTTTGAACAAATTTGGTAAATTAACAGACAATTCGTAGAGGATATCCGTAAATTTGTAGTATCCGTTTATAAGCAACTTCGAAGAATAGCTCGAGTATGCTGAGATCACCGAAGGAGCGATGCTGAGGCTTAAGGTAGAATACTAAGGTGAAAATGGAAAATCGGTTGAAAATACAGTAAATGTCCATTGACTAAGCTGGTTAGGAAACGTTCATTGAAACACCATCCACCTCAATCCATGATGTTGTATAGTGTGCGAGTAGATTGGGAGAAAGATAGGGGTGGATAAACCAAAACATAGCATCAGTTCATGAAGTTACCGACTTTTGAACTGAGTCATGTTGGTACGCTCAGACTATCTGGTCGAGGACAGTGCAATTGTGCCCAATGACTCACAATCTGTGATAATTGTGCAGGTCCATACGTTTTTATCTTCCTTAAGATACTTAGTTTCGAAAATATCCTTTTCATTCATTCCTTTTTAGTTACACCACCTTTAACTAATATTTTCTATTGCGATTACTACTGATATCACTATTCCTACCACATTAGAGTTTGTCTTAGTAGTTTCATCAAGCTGTATTAATGCGATGTAACAACTTGAACCGATGCACATATGTGGCAGGTTCTAGGTATGAATGAATAACTTAGTAAACAACCAGATTAAAACTGGGATAGATTAACAGCGCTTAAATCTAGTCTAAATGGCTGAGTTTTTAAACTGATTATAACCATATCTACTCGTGTTAAATAATAAAATATACGTTTAGTTAGATAAAAACCGTAAATTATACAAATAAGCATGTATCCATTTCTATTGTTTTAAGAAACAAATCTAACGATCATTTCAATCTCAATATGAAATAGTTATAATTTGATGAATCCACACTAAACTTCAAACCACTTAGATTCCAGCTTTTTTCTATACGTTTCAGTTAGAAGAATCTGAAACACTGTTGCTATCGCTTATATAAAATGTGTAGCTTAAAACCAAGTACATGAATCTACTCAGATTGTTGGGTATCAGTATAGTCTAATAACGATGGGTAAAAGTAAATTGTTCTTGGTTGGAATTTTGAAATTTATTTCTATCACTGATGTGGTAAACAAATCAGTAATGCTACCTTGGTTAGATATTATGGTACATACATTAAATTTCAAATTTCCCAATATATTCAGTCTGTTGTCTAGTAGTTTAGTCTTTCGAAATTGTATCGGCTCAGCTATGAATCATGGTAATTTATATGCGTGTAGTACTTTGGTTTAGCCAAATACGCAAATAATAACATACGTTTACTCTATTACGTCTTAGAAAGTGATATGAACTCTGATCGCCTTTGTAAGACATCTACATATTACATATTAAAGCCAGAATCACGCTGATTGGTTTACTTTTCAACCAATCAGTGCTAATGGGAAGATTGGGATGGTAGAAGATTCGTGATTGAAGGATGCTGAAATAGAGTACAATAACCTATAGTCTGAGATCAAGCCCATTACATGATCATCTATCGAAATACATTCACAACACTTTTGTTTCACCCCAACATCCTATTTTTGGTATTAATAAAAACAATGTTCAAACCTGAGACTTCAGTATCGATTCATTACAAATGTTTCCACTTCATGAGCATAATGTCTAATATCACCAGCTAAACAGTGACCACAATATTTCAAGTCTCAATGTGAGCTGACTTTTCTATCGTCATTGTCTCCTGATTAAGATACATGAACGTATGTTTGACTTCGTGTTCAGATGTGGATTGATAAACACACTACATATTTCCTCACTATATCAATGAAACGTTTCTGTTCTAGTTCTGACATGAAGTAACTATTTTTATGGAGAATATTCATTTAAGGTAGTATTATTGAGTTGTTCAGTAGCTAAAAGAGTGTTTAATCAAGGTTATGAACAAAGACAACAAAAAAACTAGTGGTTTTTCCTTATGCCCATCATACCATTAATCCATCAAGTTGAATTGAGGTAGAACCCCAAACGCAACGCGTAAGATTTCACATTGAAATCAAAAATTTGGATCCGAATTTCCATTTTATTTTAAAATACGATAACTTGAACGTTGCTGTACTATCTCTTTCTAAATGTGTTGGAGAGTTGTTATATTCAATAAATAAACAATTGACGTACCTCAGACTAAAAAAGGATAACAGTGTTTCGAATTCAGCTGAGTAATGCCGTTAAACTCGAACACACTGAAATAAACTTTTGCAAATAGGATGGTATTCATCAATACACTTACTGAAGAAAAAGCATTTGGGTCTGCAGAATAATTTGCCTCAGTTTGATGTGTTTGATTTGGCAAAGATCCATGCATAGGATCTGGTCCCGATTGAACCATCATACATGTATTGGGTGATGCATGGTCTAGATTCAACTTAGACATAGCTAATTGAGTTTGATAATATTGTTTCTGGTATTCAGGATCCTGGTTGTACCAAAAGTAATATGGTATTTGAGAAGCTGATGGACAACACAGTGCTGAAGTTGAGTAGTTATTCAACACAGTTGGAGACAATACTAAAGGTGGTTGTAGAGCTGTTCCATTGTTTGGAAAATTATAAGATTGAGAGAAAAGATTATAAGAAAGACATTGTGGACATTGAGGCAAGCAGCAAGATACACGATGTAAATAAGACTGTAAATGATTGGTCTGTGTGCATAAGTCTGGACTGTTTAAATTATATTCTGGGCTTGCATAAATTGAGGGGACGCAATTCGTAGTGTCAGAATTAGGAAGCGTTCGTGGATTAGACTCTGGCTGACGTTGGAAACCATACGGATCTGAATAACGGTATTGTGGGTGTTGTTGTTGAAGCTGGCTTGTTACAGGATTCATGTCTGAACAAGATGGAACTGACTGAGATATTTGCGGATGATTAGTCCTTTCGAATGAATTTTTATAATTGTTGGTGGAATGTGTAGATGCTGGAAAATAACAAAGATTGGAACAGTACTAACAAATACAAAAGGGGAAAATACATTTATAGACATCCATTTAATATTCATTTGTATTGGATACTTTTCAAACTTTTCCACTGATAATTAAGGCTCCAATTGGTCACCTATCCCATTACGCCAGCCAGTAGCTAAGTGGACAGCGCGATGTTTCAAGTGAACGGTACTTGGTTCGGGTCCGGAGGCAAACATCAACTCTGAGATGCAGACACATCCATTTATGTATACTCGGGTTTCTAATTAGTTTTCCATTGTAGTATCAACTATTTGCTAAACTTGTCGACAGGTAAAATGCTCTCGTTCATACCGAAACCACTAGTCAGACGATTACAGTTCATATGTGTCTTAAGGTAAAAAAAGTCATCATTAACTAATAACCGACCAATGAACTTTTAAAAAGCATTGAAGGTACCGTTGTTACATTGTGAAAAGAACTCACAGGTCTTTCTGTTTCCATAGGAATCAGATGAATTTTGAGACTGTTTATTGTGTGAGACGTCACAACCAGGAGAGGCATGCATTTCTGTCGCATAAGAAGCCATAACGGTATGCCAACTTACATTTGCTTACAGAGATATTGGATGACTTCAGAATTCAATCAAAACATAGAGCAGAAAGGAATAAAAATGGCAACAAAGGTTCAAAATGCAAGCAATCAAAGAGATAAAGAAATTATCACAGAAAACTGGACTTATGTATGGGAAAAATGGCTAAGTACCTTTAGAGTATCTTACTTATTGTAATGACGTGAGTGGGTCATAGGTATCGCGTGAAGAAATAAGGCAATTGGAAAGAATCACCTAGCAAAGTTGTTAACTAATACGTTTTATGTATAGAGAATCGAAAGAACCCTGACTAGGTTGTCAGGGTAATCAAGGGTACACAAGTTAACTCATTTGGGTCGTGATTAAAAAACAATTGTATGGACATAGTTATTGATAGTAAATTCATTAAACTGTAGCGGTTAATTTTATTTACTGCAACTCAGCAACAAAAACCAGTCTGGTATTTAAATTTAAACTACATTTTCAGTTGGTTGTACTACACAATTAATAACGTAGAGTAAAATTCAAGTCCGCAAACTAACGATTGAAAATTGTGAGATTTAACTGCTGACCTATGATAGCATAAAACAATGTTCTTGCCACAATTAAAAATACATTTACAAGCTTTTGTACAAGATTTGGGAGTAGTAAATTATCTGCAAAATGTAGAAGCATGGAAACTCAATGTAGAAGAATATGGTGGAATTACTAGCCGATTAGTTTTATATTTTATACTGATAGCTTCCTGGTCTACCGTGTGTGTATTACAACTTACTATTAGCTTATTCTAGACACTTAAATTATTTATAGTAGGTTAACACTATACAGTGCCAACATTTCAACTCCAGCTCAACATACTGATTAAAAATGAAAGCCAATAAAAAGAGAAGCGTTATGCTGTGATTGAGAGCAATGTAAAAAAGTGAGAATCGTCGCTTGGACACCAGCGACAATTCTCTAGAACAAATACCTGCTAATCATTTTTCATCTAAATAATATATGAACAAAAAGCAACCGGTACCTGTAAAATGGACTTAATTACATTTGTATCAAGCTATACGTTGCGACTGAACGTTGTAAATGCTGTATGGAATGTTTACAAGTTTTATCTAACCGAAAGATCGTATGCCTTTACCGAATCATGTTCGTTTTACTGACAACGCGCATATACTTCACAGACAGTTTGAATTAAATAAAGAGGTACATCTGTAATTCTGCAGAGATCTAAACTGATTCAGAACAGAGCTATGGGTGATTCTATGTTCTAAAGCACATAATTTTCCCGGAACTCTAGCTATCAACAGTCAGTAGCTCACGTCCTATAAGCGATCCATAATATATTTGTTGTAATAACTTCCATTTAGGAAGTCCCTGAATAGAGAAGCGGACTAAAAGTTAATAAACAGATGAGCGGTTGATGTAATGATCCGAATGAACATTGAAAAATGTTGAGAAATATGAAAATAACAACGGAATAATATATAAATATATTATACGCGACGAAATTCAATTGATATTTCTGGCAAACATAACGCGGTTAGTGACATCACGGGACTATGATATAGGCATAAAAATAAAAAATTAATTGACCTTCAAATACACCAATCACTTCAGCGTTTCAACAGGAAACCATGAAAACATTCTCAATAACAGAAATGCCAACAACGTCGTTTTTTAAGCACCCCACCTACTTTAGCTCCGTGCTTTTGACCTTGAGAGCCTTATGAGTTAAGTGGACAAACGAAAAAGCTTGTCTCTTTTAATGAACTTATTTGATCGAACAACAAGGAATAGGATTCTTTGTCAATTATTGGCTCTATGAGTTTTTTAAAGTGAAAACAGAGGATTCTTTTCTGTATTTGAAACGAATGTCCAGTATTTTGTAACTAGCTTGTATAAACCGAATAAAAAACGTAACCTGGTAAAACGTCATGTATTAAACATAGCCTCATGAGACATGAACAATCTAATTTTTCTTGAAAATTCCATCCGCATATGTCTCCCAGAGATGACTCAAACTACGTAGTCGATGCAGCCAAATTGTACTCAGTATTTCACTGGTGTTCCCAATTTCTCGAAGCACACAAATTTGTCGTTACCACAGTCTACGGAGGATATAAAAATATTATAGTCTGTGTAAAGTGATTCGAAAGAATGAGGCGATGAATCTAAAGGATAAATCTTACGAAGAGAGACTACAAAACATGGGATTATTATCTCTGAGCTATGGGAGAATAAGATATAACCTCATTATGTCACACATAGTGTCAAGTACGCCAAGTAGCTCTAACAACAATATCCTACCAAAACATACCGTCAAGTTCCTCAAGGCAACCCTCGAAATATTTTGCATCAAAGTGTGGGTTTTCAGGTTCGCTCTCACCTTTCCTTGCTAAGAGCTGCCACATTTGGAATGTTCTCAACGTCCTTCTCAGTGGCCGGCTTCAAAAGTAGATTGAGTAAACACGTGCTGACACATAGATCATTATCTCCCTTTTGTACCCTCAGAACTTAATGCATATCCCGTGGTTTGCCTACAATTATCATTATCACATATCATGTACTTCCTCCTATCTCATTTATTATCATATCCGTCTCCTCTCTTTTCTTTAGACTTTGTTTTTCTTACACCAGATAATTAGCTTATTATTTATTTCCTGAAACAACTGTCTTTTCTCAGTATCCGAATATCCTTTTTATTACTTTTAAATGTTGCAACCAACTGTCAGTCAGTCGCAACGTAGAACTTCGTACGTACGTATATCAGTCCGAGTTGTCATACCACATTAGCACAGAGATGAAGTTGTCGATTCATATCTCATAATGGTAGAGGTAGTAAGAGTACAAACAGTAATCGTAAAGGTTAGGGTTTGAAGATGTCATTCAAGGAGTATAATCCAGTCAAAGGAATTCGGAAAGAGAAAAGAGAAAGAGACATGAATTCAGAAGACTAAAATTTCGTAGAACACAAAGAGTGTTTGAACCTTCTCCATTGCAAACGATTTTCAGCCATGTCATTCAAGGTCCCTAACCATCGATTTCTATCATCTCGCGAATCCCAACCAGGTAGTCTACACCTATCAGCATGGCTCAGTTCACTTGTCAGTGACTTCATGGATTTGTGCCACGTTTTGATCTGGCCGCCGATGTTTTTCTTACAACCTACTCCTACACCATAAAACATCGCACGTAGGGGCAGTCGGTGGTTGGGCATACGTAACACGTGTCCCAGCCATCTCAACTGATGAAGTTTCATTTCTTCATCAATCAATTTGCCACTTTACCTAGTACCCGTTTCCTAACAGCTACATTAGTTACCCGGTGATCCCGGGATATACGAGAAATGCTTCGAAGACACGTATGTTCGAATACTAGTAGCCTACGAATATCCTCTACTCTTATCGGCCATGGTTCACTGACATAAAGTAGAATGGAACTAACTGCTGCACAGTAAACCCGTCCTTCGGTTGGTAGGCGGATATCTCGACTACGCCATAATGACGCCGGATGAGCTTTCTGTATTCGTTCTGGGATTTCGCCACACACTAAACCACAAGGGCTGATGAGACACCCAAAATAAGTGAAGCGGTCAACACGCTCAACTAGTTCACTCCCTATCATTATTTCAGGTGCCGATGCCACCCAATCCTGAAGTGACGAGCTGACCTACTGCCTGGCAATGTTATAGCCCATGGTATCCAGAATCTTTATTATTATAAGACGAATGCACTCACTCAACTGCAAGATATACATGCATAAAAAATATTTAACACGCTGACTAGGATTAGTCCAGTTGAGTGACTAGACTTCCAATATCTAAACATAACCAAATATCTGGAACCGTGCGGAAACGACAAGAAGCAAGTGAACGGAAGTCATTTGGGTTAAACAGGCTAGTGACAATATGTGAATAATATGTTGGGTCGGAGTACTGACAATACTGACCTATATTTTCACATACTGAGTATGTGTTATTTACTGTTAGTACATTCATGTGAATTGAAATAATCGAACTATTAGTTTACATATGTCCAGTACTACGATAAGTGACAATCAAAATTATGAATTCCGAGTATATAGTAGGGAATCGTGTTGTATTATTATGACAGTTTCAAACACAACATAAAATGTTTAATTGTACGTTTGATATCTGGTTCACTTGCCGCACCCATCACATGTTTGCTGAACGGCATAGAATACGTTTGTCAGGATATGCATCTTTCTATCTCAAACTACAAACTGCGCCTGCAGCTCCTCCGGGGGCTACTGCCGGTCTCAAGCTCGGATAAAGGAGGAGGGTTGTGAAATGGGGTTAGCGACCCAATTCGCTAAAAGACGCTAACCAGAAAAAAGAATTCAGACCATTTAAAATCTGCCCGAGGAGTTGAAGGAATAATTATGACGTCACACGATGAAAGCCGAGTTCCTTCGGAAATCATGAGGTCAATTCACCTTCTAAAAACCAGAGCAACAATCTTTATAGGTACATGCAACGTCCGGACAATGTGGGAGACCGGAAGAGTCTTCAAAATTGCTGCAGAAATGAGGAAATACAACCTGAAGATTGTTGGGATCAGTGAAACACATAATAATAATAATAATATTCTGCAAGGGCAGATACACGCTATTTTTACAGGCATGATTTACAAGTTACAACATATACTGGTTCATCGTATGCATCGCAAGCATGGCTGTTTAGTAAACATAATCTATAAAAGTTGATAGCAGTTCATTTGTTCAGATGGACAACATCGACTAGCTTCAGTAGAGCTTCACTTATACACCGGCTATGAAGAAGAAAATGCCCCACATACACAAGTGGCTGCATTGATGTTATCAAACAAGCACAAAATTCACGGAGGATCATTAAAGCCTCTTTCAAAAGAAAGAAAAAGGGTATGACAATGAACATCAGTCAATGCCATACGCCTACCAACGACCACAATGAAGACGTTATGGACCAATTCTACAATAAGCTGCAGTCGATCGTTGAGAAG